CAAACATGGAAGACTTATTGCGGAGTGACCCGCCCCGGCACGGGCCTCGGCCCGGCGCGCTCACCTGTGCATCCACTGCACCAGCTGCTCGTCCTGCTCCGTCCTGAAAACACCGTGGCTCTCGTGGAGCACATCCAGGGGCTCGCCGTCAGCCATCAGCTCGCGGATTTTCTTCGCCACCTGGACAACAGTGTCACGTGACTACAGGTCACACACGTAAGAAGACAGGGACTTCTGCCTTCCCAGGGGGTGAGCCAGCATCAACATGGCAGCTCTGCGGTCAGTAAACACAGCAGTAAGACTGGGGCAAGTCTGAGACCGTCCGGACCGGACGCCACGCCTGCGCAGCAGTAACTGAGGCTCGTGGTGCCCGCAGACTCGCACGCCCCTCTGTGCTGCTCCGTGGCAAGACAAGTCTGTGTGTCTCGTGGGCATCTATTTACCCTGCAGCTGAGCTAAAAGTCTCTACGCGTACTGTGCTCCAAGAGTGAGTCCCGAGTAACGAGCAGTACCTCATCAAGGAACAGACGGGGCAGCGGCGTCCTTTTGTCCAGGGCCACCGCCACACGGGAGGCCATGCAGTACCGTCGGAACCAAGCCCACTTGTGCGTCTCTGCACAGCAAGGGAGGGTGTCCAGTTCTAGGTCACAGGCGAGAGCTACCAAGACCTGCAGCCAACACAAGGTCCAGCACGCGGTGCTGAAGTGCAGCGGGAGCCGCCCCTGACCGACACCCACGCCAAGGACAAGCTGCTGGCCCCTGGCACCCCCGCGGCTACGTCTTCACGTGGAAGTGCCTTGTCCCGGCTCGTCTCCCTCGGCCAGCAGGGAGTTCCCACATCCATGACGCAGCAACTCCAAGCAGTCCTGACAACGCGCCTGGTACCAGGACCTCAGTCTCACAGCTGCCATGGGGCGCGTGGCCTACGTGGGCTCGGAGAAGACCTGGGTGTCTTGGAGCAGGCTCGGGCTTACTCAAAGACCAACACATGGGGCCAAGCGCACACAACACTTCCAGATATTTTTGCGCTCACCTTTAGCGAGACCTACAGCTGCCCTGAGGGAGGCC